CTGTAAATCCTAATCCTAATTCCTCACACAATTTTATAATCCTCACTTAACCCTAGTAATTAGATGGACATTTTCAAGGTCATCCTACTGTTGCTAAAACATCGTCGATAAATTAAAATCTCACCGCCACATTCCGTCTTTTCTATAAAAGCTTATTTCATGATGATCATATTGAGATAATTCACACATATGCCCACCAAAACTGATCAAAAATCAGTCGAAATATCTTACAACAGGATAATGAGTCAATTGAAGTTAGACCACCATAGAAAACCTGGAAACACTGGACGGTCATTTTGTCCTATTATGGGACTCCTCAGCAGTGCGCATCCACGATCCCACACTAGTGAGATTCAAACCCAGGACCTACCAGTCTCGCGCCAGAGCACTTAAGTATGAAAATACTGAAATATCCACGAAAACTCCTTCTATCTATTATTTGATGAAATTCTGTATTAAAACTTCACTATTGCAGAATCAACTGTTAAGCTAATAAGAAACATTCTAGTATGAGAATTTTCAGCAGAATTCTAAACATTAAACATACAATAGTCAATCTGGAAGAAAATGTCATCTTATAAAGAAGTTTGTTGAAAACAAGTTACTTAGGATATGTTATGGGTCACAAGGTAATACAATACAATGTCATGGATGAAACTATTTAAGACAAATTGGTGTTCTAGGAAAATAAGCAAACCAATAGGTCATTGCTTCGAATCCCGCGAGACGGGATTGTAGATGTGAATTGCTAAGGTGTCCCATACTAAGACGAAATGGCCGTCAAGTGCTTTCGGGTTTTCGATGATGGTCTAGCTTAAATTGACTCATGAATTCAACTATTAAATTACTATAATCTACATTAAACCCTTGCTTTAGAATAGTAAAATTCGAATGATTTGTATATCAGAACAGAATTCTATTGAAATAAAGCATTTGAATTAAAATCACAAAAAGAAATGTTTTCATAGAATTTCTAGAAAATATACTTTTCACAAACATCACTCACCAACGAAATGTGTTTTCATAGTTGAAATCGTGAGTCAATTGAAGCTAGACCACCATCGGAAACCTGGAAGCATTGGACGGCCGTTTCGTCCCATTATGGGACTCCTCAGCAGTGCGCATCTACGATCCCACACTCGCAAGATTTGAACCCATGACCTACCATTCTCTCGCCAGAGCACTTAAAGATAGACAACTGAGCCACCATCCCATGGTGTTAATGTCTTACTTCAACCAATCCACGATGTTTGATCAACCGTCCAACAATTTTCTTCAGTGAGTTAATATCTCTACAACAGACTTGGTTGAACTCCACTGGTCACTGCTTTCCAGTAAAACTCAAGTAAATATCCCTTGAAGTCAGTCACTAGTGAGCATATGATTATAGATCAGAAAGGATTTTTTTTGGAGATTTCAATATTTTCATAGTTGAAATGATGAGTCAATTGAAGCTAGAAATGTGTATTGAGAAAATTGGTACAAATATTCAACTACTTTTCATTTATAAGTAGTATAAAAAGATATGCACAAAAAAGTGCATTAGAAAGGATAGAAAACAAGCAATTAAGAAAGAATTTGACGGTATTTCAGTATCACTTCAATGAAAATGAATAAGGAATTGAATTATATCATGTTTAATGATACAATTAAATTAGACTTAATTATAGAGTGAGAATATGAAAGCTACATGTTGTTGTATATATCCCAAAGATACATTATGATATACATAAGTTTTTTGTATATAGTAAGATCCGGAACGGCTCATTGTTGGGCTGATCCAGAAGATTCCTCCCAGTAGACAAAAAAGATTCAGTAAACATTAAGAAGCATTTTATCCAATCAGCGTTTGATTAGAAGTTTTTGCACGAAACATCACGAAAGTGAACACTTTCTGATTGGCTGATTACTACACTGCTACTATGTTTAGTAGTATTCTAGAATTTTCAGGAAAACCCGAAGACTTCTAAAATACTATAAAAACCCTATATTTACTGAACATAAATTAACCTTTGGATTAAAAGTGCTTCTCGCATATTTTGCGCCTTTTCTCTTGTGTTCAAATTGCTGTGTAGATTAAACTTGAGGGTTACGAGACTAGCTTAGGTACTGAGAATAGCGTTCAATTAACAAGACTTATCACTCATATAATGAAAGTTGAGTAGTGACCATAAATAGATGAAAAATAAATCATGTTATAACTTGTGCCATGGTGCCCCAATCAATATATTACGTGAAGATGCTGCCAATCAGAGAACAGTGAATTATCAACTACACCAATGATGCAATCAGTAGAAAAATTGTATTTCCGGTATTTCGCGATTTAATATAAGCCACCTCTTCAGAGTAAGTAAATAGCTGTCTTTAAATTGACACAAGTTTAAATGGTTCAGATAAAACTAACGAAACTATTTAAATACTCTTGTGAAAATGGATTTTGTTGAAGATGGTACCTCATAGTTTAGTAGTCTTCATTAATGTACCGGAGGTAATGAGTATTTTGGTCCGTACAAAGTGTTCCGCTATTGATTAACTTAAATATGGCTTTGTCATGATCACTACAACATATCCGTACTTGTAGAAAGATATTTTGGATTACGAGATGTCTATTTGTCAGCGGTTTCCATTTCCTAAATGGGAGTTGTGGATGCGTCATACTGAGGAGTTCCGTATTTAAACATAATTGGTATATCCTAGTGAAGAGATAAGTACGAGTAAATCCCGGGGCCTATTAATGGACTATTACTCTATATATATTCTTATTGTTTAACTATTGAGTAACTAGATTATGAATATCTATCTTCATCTTATTACAAGTTTCATTTTGACCTATACATTTTTATGATACCATTTACTGTCCCTAGATGATATTCAGTTTATTGATTATTGTCTCCCACATTCACAGCCACATTTGGCTTGATCCTGTACAAATATTATTTTCCTTTTTATGGTGTGATGCGGTCTGTCTGTCTGGTATATAAACTGAGTATGCTTGAAATAAAGGAATTCGCATAGCTGAAGCTGTAATTAGTGTTCTGGACTAAATTAAAAGGGTTCGGGCGGACATGGGACCAATAAGGACGCTAGACTGCTCATACTGGTCGAACGTCATTGATTTGGAACAGGGTTATGATTGAAAAAGTCGTATTTCGATTGGTGGATGATTCACGTGATTAAAAGTTAACCATAAAATCACAGGAAATCGGAATACGGCCTTGTTCTTATTTTATAAAGTCATAACAATAATGACAGTCCAATGATTTCAAAATTTTTGATTGTGATCAAACTTTATTCGCTTATGATTTCAACAAAACTCAACAGTCTCCATAATCGCACCTTTGGGGCAATCGTTGTATCACAGATTAGTTGCACTTCCCGACCATTTAGTCTTCACCCCTGATATCCACGAACTTTGAAATTCGAGAAGACTTAATCGAGGTCCTTCTGTTTTTGTACAGTTAGGAGAATAACCACTGCAACCGAACAAGATATTGGGATAGCCTATCTAGACCAGTTAAACAACAACAACATAAAAGCCAAATCAAGGACAACATGTCATCCGTTGACTTCGATCAATAACCCACGTTATAGGACACCAGACCAACTGTCAGCTCCCATATAACTAGCCAACACACTTCAAATAACAAAATATTTTACAACTACCGAGAATATTTCCCTTTGTAGAAGGGATCCAGGAGACACTCGCGAAGCACTTTGTTGAAGGAATGTACTGAGTGTACACATCTGCCAAACACTAGGTAGATAATTCAGGTTTTATTAAGATTTCCATATCTAGAGTCTGATCAAATAAAGATATTTGGAGACTTAAACATTGCGTCCAAAACTCTCAACAAGCAGGATACTACTCCTACAAGGTAGCTTTAAAATCAGCTTGTCACAGGTACTAGAAGTTTGGGACTGATTGAACATGTGGGTGATGCCATAAGCTGAGGTAAGGATGGAAGGTACTCAAAACTAAACTATGCACTAACAGTTAGTGAGCGATTATGGAGAGTGTTGAGTTTCATTGAACTTGTGTCAGTTGATCTTTTTAACCTTTTAACCTTCCACTTTTGATTGATGATACATATTACTTATATCTGTCGATATCAGTAGTACACATCACAGTTTCACTGACTAGATTATCCTAATTTTATATTTGTCCTATCAGGAATTATTATCTGTTTTTATGATAATTAAGAATGAATTCAGTTTAGATGTTAACAAAGTCCTCATCTCAGCTTTTCTTTTCATCCATTTAACCATCAAATCACTGTATATACACGCTTTTCAGCTCATATACCCAAGCACATTACATACTTCTAGGCTGGACACAAATATTATTATTATTATCATTTAAAAACATAAATATTGGTACAAAGAGGCACCAGATACATATGCACCGCACAAATCTCATTTGATTTGTTTGAGGGCTGTGATACTGCTCAGGTGCCCAAACTGAAGCAGGTGGTTTTCTTAGGGGACCACACCCGGAGCCTTCGACCTAAAGGTATGATCCACAAGACAGTGGAGCATCGTAAGGAGATGCTCTCCCATAGTAGCCGGAGACCAACGATTGGCTTATACGCCATTTGTTCCATCAGGATACTGGAGCCCATGTGCACCATTGGTTTGGAATCAGGGTTTTCCAACTCCCCTAGGTCAACTCGCCGTGTCCACCAACCTCGTTAAAGCACCGGACATTCGCTTTTCGTCCTCTAAATTTCGTAAACAACAGTAATGCCACGAAAAGACAGTGAGTAAGAATTCCCTGGCTGAGGCTATATTAGCGTGGCCATGTGAGAGCATTTCGACAGGGAGAGCAAACTCTTCCCATTCTCGATCGTACCAGAGCATTCGGGGGCAGACACGAATATACCAAAGGCTGAATAGCATTTGTTTAAGTCATTAAAAAACACCAATTCATCAAATTAAATTCATTTCATAATAACAAAATAAAAAATTTTAAATATGTAATACATATTCAATTACGCTATGGTTTAGGGTTCTAGTCTATCAACCTTAACTAAATCATTGAATTCCGATTGACTAGGAAAATACCAATAATTTCCTGTGACACAATGACTAAAACGCATTACATCATCCATTTCTTTATCTTCTGTATCACCAGTCATACGATCTAACATAAAATTAAAATTATTTATATTAGCTGCATATGCAATGAATAATAGACCAGCTTCACCAGATAAAGTACCATATGGTTGAGATTGACGAACAATACGAAATTTTGGCGATTTACCACTTTCTGTAGCTTTCAATAGAAGGAAAAAAGATAAAAACAGGCGATGATAGTTATAACAAAGAATTGAAAAACAAAAAAGTCCAACTCAAAGATACCATTTGTACAGATGGAAGGGATATATCACACTTTGAATGAGTCTTTTCTTCAGTTTGAAGAAGTAATTTCTGTAAGGATACAAACAAACTGATAAGTAGTCACCAGTGTTCTGTCGTTCAATCCCTAATACTTACCGGCTTATATCTATCAAATCTTTTTGGAAATAGGTAACAATACGGTTTCAATTCAAATCTTCTGGTAGTTATAACCAGTCAATTAGGTATATCTAAAATCTTGAGGGTATTGATATACCCTTAGTATTGTTTGTTTGAATCTTCCCATTGATGTGTTAGGACTGCAATTGGCCAGTCTATAATTGGCATATGTGCATAGTGTGCGTATTGCCTCGATATAGCCTTATTTCACAAGCATGGTAAGCACAAGCAAGTGGATATCAGGACTCAGTGGCCAAGTGAGTAACGTGATGGTGTTTGAAGCGAACGTTACTGGGTTCGAGTCCCAACTCTGAGATGCAGGAACATCCAGTTGATGAGTCCCAAATAGGACGTTCTGGATTCCACTGCTAGCCACTATCCATCTCTGCTTACCATAATGATATACCGTTTAGAAAGTGACTATTCTTTTTTATTCAGTGAATCGTCAAGTTAATGAAATAAATTTCAATAAAGTTGAATGACAGTCAACAATGAAATCTAGAACGCTCATTTCGTCCTTTATGAGACTCATCAGTTGTATATCTCTATATCTGTGTTCAATTCAAATGCTCAACATGACTATGTATATTTAATAGCCACTTAATATGATGAGTATGAATACACACTGTGTTGAGGAATCTCACACCAGAATGAAACGGTTATCTAGTACTTCCACGTTTTCCATGATAATCTACCTTCAATCTTCAGAAAAACGATTCTCTGATTAAAATGTAAATAATTTAATTATTTTATAAAAAATACAATAAACAGAAGGGGTTTTGTGGAGATTTCAGTATGTTTCATAGTTGAAATCATGAGTGAATTGAAGCTAGACCACCCATGGAAAACCTGGAAACACTGCTTTAAGACTGTTTCGTCCTATTATGGGAGTCCTCAGCAGTGCGAATCCACGACCCCGCCTCGCGAGTGAGATTCGAACCCAGGACCTACCACTCTCGCGCCAGAGCATTTAACTGAGAAATCCCATAATAGGACGAAGCGGCTATCCAGTGCTTCCAGGTTTTTTATGTTGGTCTAGCTTCAATTGACTCATGATTTCAACTATGAAAAATACAATAAAAATTAAATTTAAAAGTGATAATAATAATAATATTGATAATGCTTACTCCCAATCACTCTTACAATGTGTGATGTAATAGATTTGTCACGTAATTCAAAACTATGTTCAATTGTACGACCAATCCATTTTTCTTTAACATCATCTATAGACAAGTTTTCATAATGTTTAATACATTCTGAATAGAACTTTTGAAAGAAAACGATCTATGTAAACTATTGGAACAACATTTACTTTATTGTATGTTAAATAATCAATCAACTAGTGATGTTGAAATAATGAGTTGATCTGAGCTAGAACACCATCAAAGATATGGAAGTATTAAATGACTGTTTAGTCCTAGTGTAGTATTGTGGTGTTGTCTACTTATATCCATATAAGTAGTATATGGCGTGGGTCAGACATAGAATGTATTTTGGCAGAAGACCGATGAGGAAAGAACTGAAATGAAGCGCAATCGTTTGGAAAATGCATGAGCAATGGAATTAGAGAAGAAACAGTGAAGATTGAAACAATTGGTTATTAATTTGCAAATTGACTGTTCATTGTTTGGTTATCAGAATTTACCGAGATAGTCTGTAATGTTTGCTTAAATACATTCGATTGTCCCCAACTAGTGTTTTGTTCGCTACAGTATTACTCAATAGTGCGAACCAATGATCTCACATACAAGACTTGAATCCAAAACCTTTGATTTAGCGCACAAATGTTTAACCTTATAGTTTAGTGAGATGACATTCGATTGTGTTAGTATTGATCTCAACTAATTCACGATATTACACGACCATTGTCTTCCATAGGTAACCGCTTCATATCTGATTAGATACGGACTCTCACAAGAACTGTAGGGGTTTCATCTTAAAGCTAGGCACTATTATTATTAATATCAGTATGAAGTTTTGTAAAGATTTTAGCATTTTCAATTCCATATCATTATTGTCAATGTGTATCATTCATACTATTGATTTAATATCAATAGTATGAAATAATAATTGATAAGATTTATCATATTTTTATCAAAGATGAAAGTACAATTATTATGTCATTATTTACATATACAATAATGCACTTTGAAAGTAGTATATACCATTGATAATCAATTATATTATTATGACTTTATCATAAGTAAGCAATTTTTACAAAGCAAGAGTTATTATAAAACATATGGATACTAAGAAACAATGATAAAGATGAACTCTATAGTTATCACTAAAGCAATAAAGTATACCCTTCAATAATAATTTTTCGTAGTAGTTATAAACTATTCTAAATAAGATGGTGCTACTTGGCACTCGTCAGCAAGGTGTACCTATACCACCATCTTATCTCAACATAGTGCATGCAGTGTCAAGCCATCAAGATTTGATCGATAGCATTCAATCAGTACTAACAAGGACTTGACATGCATGACATTGAGCACCACACAGTGATCAATCAATTGTGACTATTCTAAATACTATATCAATACTCAACGTCCGTCTAGTGCTTCCACGTTTTCCTTGATGGTCTAGCTTCAACTGACTCATGCTTTCAACTATGAAAATAATAGTGTATTTAATAGTTACTAGGTTTAGAACAGACACCTGAACACGTTTATGAGTAATTATGAACCAAAAAATCAATCAAGTTTGAACTGAACATATCATTTAATTAAAATAATGAAGGAGTACTGATTATATCATTAATAACTAAACATATCATATGATCTAGATTCAAAGTGTGACAAAATTGGAACTAAGTTTGACTTCATTTCATGCCTCATAAATTAACCATTATATAAGTAGGTAAGGTTCTTAAATAACACCACTTAGTCAATGACTCGTAGTTCCATTTATTCGAATGTTTATTTGTATGGAAAAATTTCTTAACCAAACACACACAGAACAACTTATTATTTATTTTATTTATTACCTGGTGTTGATCGAAGTAAATCCATGTCATGAATCCATTTTTGAACAAGACCATAACTTCCACCTGTATCTTTATTGATGGCTACTTCTGCTCGATCATCTAGATGTTTTGGATTCATTGTTCCTTAATACGCAGCAAAACACGCATTATAAAGATGTGCATATGTCATTTATACAAAGTGATCATTAGAAATTCCTCTAACATAATTTCTGTTACATTAACCTATTTTACATCATCTGTGTATGTTCAAATGTCAAATTTAGATATATTCATATGAATGATGTGCTTTATTCACGTTAATAATTACAATCTACTAAAATAAATGAATGAAAACGTAAGTAGATGAAGAAAGTGTGCAAAAATTCATTCCTAAACATAACAGTATTCCAATCCACACGACTAACATTTATAAATATATATGAACTTCTCTTGAAATTAAATTTATCTTCCTATCTTTACGTCACATTTTAGGCACAGAAAGTAGATTATTCAATGTGCTAAACAGTAATGTCTCTAAGATGGTGGTTGCAGATATTCAACAGGTCTAAGGTTTCCTGCCGACTACTTCTAAATGCCACCTTAACTTAGTGGACGCAATGTTGAGCCATCTAGACTAGTGGCTACACTGCAACTTCATGGATGGCATTTGACCTGCACTAACAACGACCAGACATGCATAAAAAATGATCACCATCTAATAATCAACCAATTGTAAGTAATGTCTCTTGCAGTAAGGAGTTGTTTGGTTTAGAATTTTGCACTGAATATCACTTGAAACTAGATTTAACCTGTGTTTGTGAGTAGGGAGGGACTTAATCTCAGTTTCCTTCGATCATTTAAATTTTCAAAGGTACCATGTGAAAATGGAAAACAATTAGATAATGTCATTAATTTCTGACAACTGAAATGACTTATTTACTTATTAGGTAAACTGAACAACATTCTTACTCAATAGGCTATTTCTTTCTTTCAGGAGTAGGTTAGAAGAAAGTTAAAGGCATAAACGTAAAAACTTAGTATCAATTTGTGAAGATTTAGACTGTTGGCACAGGCCATTCTAGTTGATTCAGACTACATGGTCAAAATGTACACAGTTTTTATGGCGGATGCTTTCAAAAGTTGGGTGATATAGCTCAGAATCGGCAGCAGTGGAACGGATGAACTGGCGGATTTTTCTTTTAAATCCTGAGTTTTAAAATTATATGATTCTTTGTATTTCCAAAATTCATTTTTTCTTATTAAATCATATTTCCTATGGTTAATATGTTTTTATTACCATTTGTACTTTTACCATGTCTACTACACTGATATTCGCCCTGCTGACTTCATCTAGTCTTTCGGATTTGGTATGAAAACATGAACTAATACACAAATACACTATGTCTTTTACATCGGTTATGAGTCGCATACAAATATAACAACGAAGATTGTTTTTCTTATAAATAACTTACCATCGATAAAACCACTCAAATCACGCCCATCACGATAAACCCATCCGTAAATATCCTCAAATTTCGCTACAGATCTGGGTGGTAAATTATCGATGATGGCCTGTGTCAGTTCAAACAACTTCCCATAATTATGGGATTTAGCATGAATAAATATATCTCCACCTGTTGGACAAATAAAAATTTTTGAAGAGAAATACAAACAAGTACTGAATCAGTTCAAGATTTTACCCAATAAGTACAAAACTGAAGACCAAGAAGATATATTAATAAGGTTTTTGTCACTTTATTGTTTTCATATGTCCCCTTTGATAAATATACGATAGCGATAGTTGACATCTTCGCAGTGTTCATTTTAAATGTAATTCTAACATGGCAATTTATCAGAGCTGTTTTTCATTCAGTTGTAACTAGTTCTAGTATAAGTCATTTTTATAACACTTTCTTTTAACAATGAGTATCTTTAACCATGACTGAGGTTTTCATACATGCGTTAATAAACTAGCTCCATCTAGAGTTCGAAAGGAAGGCGCAGAAACCAGGTTTCCAAAGGCATGTACGGAAGGTTCATTTGTGTTTCTATTCTATTTGAAAAATAGATTTTTAAAAACATATTGCGGAAAAAATAACGACAAAACATAACACTGATTACCAAGACGTATTCTTACTTAATTAGATAAATATGGTTGGTGATAATAATTAATGAATAGTCCTTGTAACACTCTAACAATCAAAACGTGGACTTGCCCGTCTTAGGGAGTTTACCAAAAGCCCCTGACCGTTCATGATATTCAAAAGGTTCAATTTTCTTGTGTTCAAAATCAGGACTGATCTTTCGAAAGAAATCAAATCCAAAACCGACACCATATAAAATTTCATCTTCATGACACAAATGTTGGGGACAAATTGCGTCAACATACCTCTAGAATGAATATTCAAAAAAACCCAGAATAATATATTCAATACGTATGAATAATTTTCTAAACCCATGCAAATGTCTTCGTGTTGTGTACGGATGTTAATAGATCTACTTCTCACTTATCGATAAGCATGGCATAAGAATGAGGCACAGTATATAACAAAAAACGGTAAAGCATATAACACAATATAATACCTCAATATGTCCAATAGACTTCAAACACTCTGGTGTAGAGGCATCAGGACTCAAGTAAATAGTCAAGAAAAGAGAATGGTCTTTAGTTTCGCTTATAACCTACAACAAATTGCTGACAACTTGTTGCAACTTACTGAGCCTTGAGGAGTCCCATTAACAGAATAAGCATCAGCGAACAATATATTTTCAAATGATATTTTGTATTTTGAATAAACAATATGGGTCGTAAACAAAACTGCTAATTGCATAATGCATCCGAAAATGAAAGATTTTATTGCGAAGCCAAAGAAACCTTTAAAAGTTGAAGAACGGTACGTGACAATAAACGTACTTTTAGGAAAACAATTTTGATGCCTCATTACCTTGAAATTTGAATTAGTTCAATGAACTGTAATTGTAAATGCATCATGTTAAACAATTCATTTAAGCACGACGAACTTGTTTAGTGATGGGTTCTTTTCCTCTTACTTTTCGCTTTTTTGCACGCATACAGGCATTAAAAGATACACAACGGATGGTAGTTTAGACATTCGATTAGACTTATTTTAGTCAGAGTTGTAGTTATATCTCACCTGGTACATATTATAGTCTGGCTGTGTCAGTTTATCTCAATGAATCATAAATCCTGGATATTGCAGGACAACACGTTATCATACAGAAGCCAGATGGTTGCAGTTTCAGAAACAAGAAAGAGAAAATCGGAATTTAAAGAGATGATTGCTTCAAGAAAAAAATAAATCAGTTAATTGTTTGGTGAATCAAACAGTATGAGTAGAAGAAAGTGTGGGAATTAGGGCGGAAATAGTGACAATAATAAACAGAAAATTAAGCAGTTACTGACACGGGCTAATGATAATCGTGGTGATTAATAAGACATGCAATGGATCGTGTTTGTAATCCATCTTTGAGCAGTGTTCGTCAAGTTTCCTTAAAAAGCTATCAATTTACAAGGGTTTGGGTGAGCATCCGAAGTAAGTGAGCTGATAAGAGTAAGGACGTGCATTGTGCTTTTGCTCTTTTGTGCGACAATGAAGTGTATTGGGGATGTTGCATCATAGTCGAGTAGTTTTCATTAATGTAGCGAAGGTAATGAGAATTTTCGTCCTTTCCAAGTGCCTCAGTACTGACTAACTTTAATATGACTTCGTCATGAATACCACGTTATTTCCACATTTGTACATGGATATCTTTGATTACGAGCTTTTTGTTTGTCAGCGGCTTCAATTTCCGAAATAGGAGTTGTGGTTGAGCAATACTGAAGAGTTCCACATTTAAACATAGTGGAAGTCATGTGCTCTCAAAGTTTCAATGGTTGTCTAACTTCGATTACCTTATGATTTCAACGAAACTCAGCAGTCTCCATAATCGCTTACTAACTGTTAGTGGATAGTTTAGTTTTGAGTACCTTCCATCCTTACCTCAACTCATGGCATCACCCACATGTTCAATCAGTCCTAAACTTATAGTAGCTGTGACAAATTGATTATAAAAATAATCTCTAGGGGTAGTATCCTGCTTGTTGAGAGTTGAGGACGCAATGTTTAAGTCTCCAAATATCTTTATTTGATCAGACTCTAGATATGGAAATCTTAATAACACCTGAATTATCTACCCGGTGTTTGGAAGCTCTGGACACTCAGTACATTCCTTCAACAAAGTACTTTCCGAGTTTCTCCTGGATCCCTTCCACAAAGGGAAATATTTTCTGTATTTATAAAGTGTTTTGTTATTTGAATTGTGTTGGCTAGTTGTGTGGGAGATGACAGTTGGTCTGGTGTCCTATAACGTGGGTTATTGATCGAAGTCAACGGATGACATGTTGTCCTTGATTTAACTTTTCTGCTGTTGTTGTTGTTTGACTGATTTGGGTAAGCTGTCTTAATACCTCCTTTGGTTGCAGTGGTTATTCTCATAACTGTAAAAAACAGAAGGACCTCGGTTAAGTTCTCTCGAATTTCAAAGTTCGTGGATATCAGGGGTGAAGACTTCATGGTCGGGAGGCGCAACAAAGTAGTGGTACAATAACTATCACAAAGTTGCGATTATCGAGACCGTTAAATTTCGTTGCAATCACAAGCGAATAATGTTTGACAACCATCAAAAGTTTCGGAATCACTGGATCGCCGTTATGATTGAGAAGTCCAACATATCCGTCGAAAATCGACTGCTACAAGGATACGAATGCTTAGGTTATTATAGCTGACAACACTTTTTCATATCCAGTTTCCAAACTACACTGACTAATATTCACTTGAGCGGGGACTCCATAAGCCAATATTCTGATTGTCGATTATGTTTATTTCGTGATCTCCTAGTGATATCTCTTGCTTCACCCAGTTTGTCGTATCTTATTCGGGTTTGAGAGGACTATTAACCGAAGCTGTCGAAGATTTCATCAATAATTTTTCTGTAAGGTGTACTCAATCTTAAGCTACCCTCAATATGGAGATGTTCACCCTTCTCCATATTTTTACTTGATTACAGATGACACAGTTTTGCTGGATTGGTACTCGTTCTAACCATTGTACATTATTCGTCTGACACTATCATTTTGAAAGCTACCCTGCTTTCTAGTCTGTCACCCAACAACACTAAATGAATGTAGAGAGTTTCGTTCAACATTTTTCGCCTTAATTTTCAGAGTTTTGAGGGCTAATCTGCTGATCTTTTTACACATAGCCCTCACACTGCTCTTTACTGCGAACAGACACGAGGGTATCATCAAAAGTCTTCAATCTCATTGGTGTATTAGATCGGGTTGAGGCCATCTTGGTCGTGTATTTGGGTTTGTCTGTTTCGCATTTATGAGGTACATGATTGGGTATTGATGAAGACCCTTACCACAATCCTCAAGGCTGAACATGAATTGACCGTAAAAATAAAACATTAACATGTGACTCTAAGAGAAGGTCAATAATGGTGAGCTCAGGAACATTCATTCGAAACTCAATTCAATTAATTCAACCTATCGGATGGCATAACTCGACCTTGCAGACGTAGTCATACTTTTGTAACAAAATTTTATTCATAATTAATATGTTGTTCTATCTCTAGTCTAAATGTGTTCTCCTTCATATATTAGTAATTGTTACGATACAATGTGTCAGCATACACAAAGATGCGACTTTCACATAAGACCTTATAGATTATGACAAATCACCACTTTTTGGGTAAGATTTATTAATACAGCCGTACTTATAACGAAGTAGAACATGGTTCCACAAATTCGTATAAATATATATATATATATAGTATTCATCATGATGCATGCCTGTCATTCTTGTGATAAGCCATTGCCGGATGTATTCAACCAGGTTGAAAGTATGTCATTCATCTCCTAAGCCATTGGATGTTCTTCATATTATTTCATAAATCCACCGAAGTTGAGTATGTCATCAATATCTACAAAATTTGTTGATAATAAGTGATTATCAAATTATACCAAAATCACCAGTTTACTTCGAGTGCAGTACGCTTTGTATTAAACGTTTACTATATATTGACTACTATCACAAAAATACCAACCAATCTCTTCATTAAATTCCAAGATAGGAGCATTTAGCTACCACCGAATCCTTTTTCAAGATAAAGATTTCGTATTATCATTTACAAAAAAGAATTTTGTAGAAAGGACAATTAACAGCTAAGTTTGTTTCTCTCTTCTAGAAGTGTTGCTAATGTACCGAAATTTGTCGTATTCAAATCAATCAAACAGTTAGTTATGAACAATACATGAATTCCATCGGTTCACGTTTGCCGTTATATCATCACAATAACTCAGTCAGTCATGGGTGAAGTAGAACATGGAATATATATCCATTAACCCCGGTTGCCATATCATATGACAACAGTAAAACAGAAATTTTGAAGATGGATAACAGCACAGGTATTAATAATATCAATGTTGGGATGAAATTGAGAGTAAAGTCTGTTCAAGCAGAAAAAATGGATTCATGGAATAAAAACTGTATAACGATTTCGAAACTCAGGACCCAGGAGAAAGAGGAGTCAACAATCTGCATCATTGCGGTCGATTTTGATAAATTTAATCTAACGTTACGGTAAGTGAATAAACTTCGACGTAAAAGGTCAAACCCACCAGCACATCTCAGACCAACATTTAATAGCGTGGACTGTTGCCGCATTTAGGCTTGCTCGTTCATAACTATTTTTCCAAACTAATCCAACCACAACCGACATTATACAACCGCTTGAGTTGAAAGATATCCACAATCTTATCAAACGATTTGCTTGGTAAGACATTTCTATATAAAAATTAAGAGGTCAACTAGACAGGTTAAGGTGAGCCGTAACAAAGAAAGAAAATAAATAAAGTACACAAAACAATGTTTTTGAACATATAAATGTGCTTTCAATTTCTGTATATCCAAGGCTTCAATAAACCTCAGTATACGACCTTGAAGGCCTTTGTACAACACTACAAACGCTGACTTGATGTCAAACTTATGACCAGTTTCAACCAAATGTTTTGCAAAGGAGGATGTCTGTCTATCCTATGATTTTATTTGACCATTGGAATTCATTTGGTTATGCAACCATTCTTGAGTTATTCCTAGTCTATTAATTACTGCCTCCCGCATTCACAGCCATATTTGGCTAAATCTTGTACAAATGTTATTTCCTATTTTATTGGTACGATGTAGTCAGTCTGTTTGCTATATATAATCAGTATGTTTGAAATACAATGATTCATACCGCAGAGGCTGTTTTTGGTGTTCTGGACTTGACTGGCTGGGCTAGGCAGAAAGCAGGACCGATACGTACTTTAGACTGCTCGTACCGTTTTCGTGTGTCACTGCTTCAGTCAATAATTCGCTGCTCTCTGATTGGCGGTCTTATCATGTCATATATTAACTAAGCATCCACTCGGCCACAGGATATAACACACATAGTGACCACATCACAAACGAGAAATACTTTGAAGACACCTATGATCGTGTACTGACAACCTATGAATGTTTTCTTTTCGAAACGAAAAGAAGCTCACCAAAAACGTTCTTCCATTGATACTCAAAATGATCAAAAAGCTCAGCTCAATAAAGGGGAAGTCAGATTACTAGCAGCATCGTTGATAGAGAACTATGCTTAAGAATTATAATTTCAGTAGAATAATATATAAAAATGAAAGTGTATTGATGTTCCGACGATTATGGAAAATAATGAAAACAACAGACATTACTTTAACCGATTTTCACCAAAATTCCCCAGATATCCTCAAAGATTATGAATATTGTCGGAACCTCAACCTAGAAATCACGCCACTCAACATCGCAAAGTCCAGTTGGCGATATTGATTCACTTATTTCTGTACTTTTTCCTACTTGATCTTATGATAGCCACCATCGAATGTATGAGACAAGTAGTGCAAGGATTAAGTAACACATACCCTGACTACCTAATTTGATGAGTCTGTAGCGTCCTCAATTTAACAACCATCTCTTCGTAATTCTAAAAATTCCCTACTACCGCAGATGACCAAAGACGTATGCACTGTGTACTTGACTCTCATATTTCGCACCAACCGTACAATATCGAGAACTGTCGAGCAGCAGACATTTCCGCCCTGGAACCACCATTCAGTCAAAGGCAATGTATAACCTCATTGTAGTAGCAGAGATGAGATATTGTTAATGTGACTCAAGAGGAAGGAAAGAATTCAAGGCTCATCAAGGAACATGGAACTTTCTAGGTGAGTTAACTGTTTAAGACGAATACTTCCCTCGTTAGTCAAATTGAGCAAATCAGTCGTTAGGATGCATACAAAGGTATTTTCTGTTGATATTCAGTGACTTCAGATCATTCTAGATAACGTCTGCGTTTTTTATTAACTAAACTGAACCATGTCATCCACATACGCAATTACGATACATCTCAATAGATCATGAACAACGCGAGAATCAGGTTATATATTTCATTTAAATATGTCGACTCAATACAAACAAAAATAATTAGCTCATTAAGTAAGATATTATTAGATTTCATTGTCGCCAAAATCCCCATAGACCTCCGCCGACTAGACGATCAAATTCTGGTACACTAGGAAAATACCAATAATTCCCAGTGACACATTTGGTAAAACGCATTACATCGTCATTCTTTCCATCTTCACTATCCCCAGTCATTCGATCCAACATGAAATCGAAATTCTTTGTATCAGCTGCATATGCAATAAATAGTAGACCAGCATCGCCTGATAAAGTTCCATACGGTTGAGATTGTCGGACTATTTTGTACTTCGATGGAGCATCATAATCTGCAGCTAATTATTGTTAGAAAAAACAAACACTGATGACTAAGTTATTGAGTCAAAAAGTCTAAAATAGAAAATACACCTTACTGAAGTTAAAGTACAGCACCACACAGTACCACAATATGATAGTAAAAGGAAATTGATGGGGAAGATTTGAATTTCAGATGAATATTTGTGATGGTATAGTGTTCTCTGACCTACGAAAATTGACTTCGTCTACATTTACACGACTAAGATGCTCAAGATAGTGTTCAGAATAGTGATGAAAGTTTTATAGTTGAGCCATCTACCTTAGGGGATACAAAACCACACAGAGAGACATACAATCCGATGGAACTGAATTTGAAAGATCATTGAAAAACAGGACATAAAAAAATAGGTATATTATGAAGTGTTAAATGATCTGAACTTGCTACACTCTCAAATCTGTTCGAAAGTAAACAAATCTTTGAATAATTTCCTTTAAAGTGACACATCGGTAAAGACATAAAGATGAACTGGAAGTTGATAAACTTTCACTCAACAAATTAAGGTAAATGAATAGAATTATTCTCTAGGAGATAAATCAATTGAAAGAGAAATACTGTTACTTACATCCAACCATTCTAGCGACATGAGACGTAATTGGTTTGTTCTTCAACTCCACACTATCTTTCAATGTTCGACCAATCCATCCTTCTTTGGTGTGATCTGCAAAATCAAATAAATTAAACGTTATAACAGTTGCCAAAATGTGAATCACATAAAAGATTTCCACCAGCTACAAACGTGTTGATGAATCACCGTTTTTGGCAGTTAATTAGTAGCAGGTTCACTGTGTGATCAGAAAATTGATTGATTATTTGATATCAGTCCATGAATGATTGAATCCCATCGAAAAAGTTGTAATGTAGCCAACTGTTTTAAATAATCTGACATCGTGTACATTCCATCTTGATAACAAGCACATGCCGTACCTGCGGACACTGATTGCCAACTGATTAAGTGCGGATTGCATGGCTTGAGCATTACCGCACAGTAAGACAATATCATCCGCATACTCAAGGTCGAGAAGTCGTTCTCCAGGCAACATATCCACACCTCCATTACTTACATCCATCAGAGCTGTTTCCAGGATGTCATCGATGACATAGTTGAAGAGGAATGGTGAGATCGGGTAACCCTGCCTAACCCCACTGCTCGAATGGAACAAGGGAGAAAGGTGGTTGTATGCCCTCACTCTGCCTGAGGTGTTCGTATACAGGGCCTTTATGATGGTAATGAACTTCTCAGGCAGACCCTTCTTCAATAGACAATCCCAGAGAACAGTCCTGTCCAACGAATCGAAGGCCACCCTGATATCAAGAAACACTACGATTGTTGGCCTGCGATAAGTAATCGACTTGCTATCTTCGTCTAGTATCTAGGATAACCCATTGAGCTTCAAAATGACATATAAAACAACATCCTCAAACAAAAGTAACACAATAATAGCAATCTCAGATTCCCAGCAAAGTTGTGTTGATCCCTATTGATGAGAAGTTCCAGATTGAAACGAAACAATTATACTATATTCCATGGTTTTAAAAAACACTTTATTGATTGAATCTAATTTATCAATCAAATTATCTCTGAGGTAATACAGTTGAGCTACAGGGTCAATTCAACTCTCTCTTTTTCTCTTTCCCTAATTGATTACATAACCAGATTTCATCATATTACAGAAGATAACTAATCATATTTGCAATTTGTTGAAAACTAGTTAGATGATAATATGATGCAATTTTATCGAAAATCAATAATGACAGACAACATTTTCAACATAACAACAATAACATTTTTTGATCATGTGATTACGTAATTGGAAAAAAATAAATCATATGTGGATGTGTTGTAGACAGAAATTGTATTCATCTAGCAGTCAGACAACAACAACAACAACAATGAAGGTTAATGTTTAGATTGATTTATTTATCTATGAAAGGGTTTAGAAGAAGAAGAAGAATAAGAACAAGAAAATGAATTCGTTGAGATAAAGTCACATTCGTAATTCACATTGAATTCATTGGTATTTTGTGACATCTTTCTTCAAACATTTACAACTGTATTCGTATTAAAGTAAAATGTGATACATTAAAGTATAATCAAATATGAAATCATAGACATTGGTAGTGGAAGGAATTGGGCCAACAACCATTATCAGTTATATATGTACATACATTGTATACAACGACTGAGCATATTGTTACAGTGAACTTTGATTAGTTATGTGATTGAAAGAAATAGTGAATCTGAGTAAGGAAATCGTTTTATTTCATTACTCATTGAGTGAACGAGAACACAAGTGGGAACAATCGAATGTATTTCAATGCAACATTACAGAATATCTTAGTAGAATCTGAGAATCATACAGTTATCACTTCATTTGAAAAATATCAGTCAATCGTCCCAAACTTAACTGTTCCTTTTCTAAAGATCAGTCAATCGTCTCAGACTTCACTGGACCTCCATTTCCAATGCAATCATTCACTATTCTCTTTGTCTTTTTCTTCGATCTACTTAAACCTCACCTACAACGTATTTCACTTTCCAATGATGATACTTACTACTTATGTTATCGACATCAGTTGCTCACACCACAATGTTAGGTCGTTTACGGATGATAATCAGAAACACAAAGGAAGGAAGGTAGTAGTGAAATGGAGTCAGAAGACTAATAAGATGCATTGTGTAATAATTCTAGGAGGTTGAAAGAGTTAAGTTCACTTGGTATTGCTACCCACTAACCATCTTTGCTTACAATGCTTGTGAATTTAGGCTATATTGAAGCAATACGCACAGTATGCACATATGCCAATTAGAGACTGACCAGTTGTAGTCCTGAAACATCAATGGGAAGATTTAAAGAAACAATACTAAGTGAATTTAAAACTTCATCCCATTGTAAAGGCAAGTGGCTATCAGGACTCAGTGGCCGAGTGGATAACGCGATGGCGTTTGAAGCGAACGGCACTGGGTTCGAGTCCCAGAGCGAACATCAAATCTCAGATGCAGGTACATCCAGGTACATCCAGCTGACGAGTCCCAAATAGGACGAAACGCAAGTCAAACTGGATTCCACTGCCAGCCACTATCCATCTTTGCTTACATGGTTTAAAAAGTTTACATAAGTGCTGAGAATGAGAGGAGTGAAAAAACACAGATAATTGAAAATATCATTTTTAGGATAGATCAAAACAACAATGGTAATAGTGATGATAATAATAATACTAATTCAACGTGGTTCCTTCTACCGTCAATATCGATTACCTTTATATTTCATCATAACTCGATGTGTCACACTTCAATATGAATGAATTCTATTGTAAGCGGTTAAAAGGAGAAACAATTGAATGCAAATGAATTCAATTGTTAACTTGACTCAACCATCAAATTGATTTAAGAAAAAAAGAGAAGTCAAATGTATGAAATTTACAGATCATCAACATCATCTTCTAGAGTTACTTCCAGTCTCATCCCGGATAAAGGAGGAGGGTTGGGAATGGGGTTAGCAACCCCATCCCGTAGAAAAACTAACTCGCTAAATAGAACGCTAACATCATGGATTATCATTTGAAAAAATATTACGAATCCCACTTTGACAAAACTTTTACTAAATTACTAACAAGAATAAGATAATAGAAAGAAAGGAGAAAACTGACACTGAATATTAGGAATATATTTTCCATTCTTTAATTTCTCCTCAACTGCTTACAATCATATTCATACTGAAATACATATCATAAAATTAAACAATTACATAATATCATCAGTAGAAGCTTTTATCGAGATTGCAACATCTTCATAATTGAATTCATGAATCCATCTAAACTAGATCACCATTGAAAACTTGAAAACACTGTATGCCAGTTCAGTGATCTAGGAGTTAAGCGATCGATAACAAGACCGAAGGTTTTGGTTCGAGTCTCACATATGAGATCGCTGGTGGGCATTGCTAAGGAGTCTCATAATAGAACATAACTGCCATCCAGTACTTCCAAATTTTCAATCATGGTCTAGCTTAGATCGACTCGTAAATTCAACAAAGAAAATTACACAATCATGATGGAGGAAATGAAATTAGAATGATTATCATTTAAAATAAAAGAAGTCAGTGGTCTATCGGTCAAAAGCTCTGATGCGAGATTGCGAGGTCCTGGGTTCGAATCTCGTGAGTGCGAGATCGTGGATGCGCACTGCTGAGGAGTCCTACAATAGGACGAAACGGCCGTCCAGTGCTTCTAGGTTTTACATGGTGGTCTAGCTTCAATTGACTCATGATTTCAACTATGAGACATCATAATCATCAAAGATTTATAAACGGATAACATCGATTACGTAATAATAATGAAAGAAACTTTTGCAATAGTTTAAGGAACTAAATAAGTGAAACTCATTAATGAACTCAAATTAATCTAATTGATGATTATGTAATAATGATAATAATAAACGATTTCATTAAAATTATGAGATGGTGAAGATACAACTAAAACAAAGAAATAAACCATGACAGATTTAAAGTTAACAAAAACCAATCAACATTGAGATGCACAGGAAAAGCTGTGAATCAAGTGTGAAGAAATTCAAAACACTTCACTTCTACTACCTCAAGTTTGTGCTGATGATGTCGTTCAGAAGGACGATGAAAGCTACACGACCAAATCATTCAGCTCACAGAACATAACTTCATTAAAATTATGAATTCACAAAGTGAACTGGTTGCATGGAAGTTTCTAATAAGAAGTCGTTACTTGTAGACACTTCAAAGAAGTCAACAGTCAGGATTGATATCACTTTACATAATACCGAAATTTGAATAAAGTAGGAAATGTGAATCGATGATTGCAAAAACAAACTCAGTAGTCTTAACGTAACGCACTTATTTCGAAAATCACGAATTCGAGTAATAGAAGAGTATTAGAGATTAGAACGGATCAAGCATCCCATAAGCAAGATCGTGGATACACACTTCTTAGGAGTTCCACAATAGGACGAAACGGCCGTCCAATACTTCCACGTTTTCCATGATGGTCTAACATTAATCAGTTCATGATCTCAAGCAATATATATAATGAATTCATATTATTCTTTACCTTTTGTTGTCTGAATCATATCCATATTATGAATCCATTTTTGAACAACAGCATAACTTCCACCAGTTTTTGTATTGATCGCCACTTCAGCTCGTTCGTCTGGATCCGCTGGATTCTCTGTGCCTTATTATCAAACAAAACAAACGTTGAAGATGTTATGTTTTAAGAAGCTTAGTGGTAAGCAATTAAGCAGACGCATTTATTATGTATATGCTGATGTACTCGGTATTGTGCCACATTTTATGTATGAAGGTCAGTGATATTATCCATCTGTTCAGATAGGAGTGTTCTAATTAGTAAGTCACTGTGAAGATTTCCTTAACACAGAATAAATTATGTCAGGACTGGTAATCAGGACTATAGTTACATGAATTCATCACAATATTATTTTAATCTAATGTGACGACAACTGTTTTTCTTGTATTAAAATTGATGGTACACTGTATAAGGGCAGTGGCTACTGGCTTTCGACCTAAAATCCGAATAATTTTCATTGAACTTACTGCTCGACACAGACACACAAAGTGTAAAGACGAACTAACCGTATGATTCAATGTAACCTTCTATTATTAAAGTTAATCAGTTAAACGTACCAAACTAATTTGGGTCATACACATGTTGTGATAACTCACACTCAGTCAAACGTAAACATGTATCACGTAAATCTACTGTACACTATGTAAGTAAACCAAGGTTCAGTTCAGTGTTTTTCTTCTATAATAACCTTATTTCAAGTGACTTTCATTCATTTGCATTCAGTGTGGAGAATGAGATCCCTCTACATATATCTAAAGTCATAACCTTTGTCACATTAAGTCATCTTTGGCAACGTTGAGGTATTTTTCTGCTGAAAAACACAGGGTTAACACCAAACAGATGAGGAGAGTTTGATTGATGTGGCTGTGATTACTTCAGCTCATTATTTGTTCAATGCAACTTTTCAAGAAGTTTACAGTTTTTATGAAGTGAATATAAACAGTGCTTGATATGAACTGTGACCTTACTTGATTAAGGTGTACGAGGCTGTTCACAGAGAGTGTGTTGCTGAGGAAAGAGAGAAAAAGAAGCGGCACGCATTTGGATATAAATTCCAAACAGTGCATAACAGTTTGTAGTGGAACAGATTTAAGTCTGATAACCTAATACGTAAATTTAATACTCACTATTTGCGCTAGAGTGGAATATGGTCTATCATAATGGGAAGTGCATCAGGAAAGACACTATGGAGTTCCTGATATGCGACGGTATACGAGACAAATTATTATCCTTGAAATTCTTTTCATCCCAACAGCATGGGTTCACGATAAGTCATTCTTCTATAATCAACCCGCTGACTGAGATGGACAGATGAGCAACCATCCTTATCGCAATGGGTATGCTGATGTCATTTACATTGACTTTTCAAAAGCTTTTAATAGGGTCAATCAAATATGTCTTATCAATAAGCTAGAACAACTGGGTATCAAATCACTTTTGATTGATCGGCTCATTTTTTATGCAAGAGAAAAAACTGGCACTTCCGGAAGCACTTCAAAGTTGGGCAGATGACAATGGACTTACCTATTATTACTTCGAGGTGTAAAGTAGTCTATCTGAGACATGTTGCAGACCACAATTACGAATCAGGCAACTCCCTTCTCGATGTATCCCAAGTTGAAAAACATCTAGGAGTATTGGTGACCTACGATTTGAAGTTTTACTATGACTGCCACAAAAATATCCTTCCAGTAAACCTTACTCTGGTAAAATTGAAGCTCACTTTTGGCCAGTTCGATTGAAGAGCATTTCACGTAATTCTCAGCAGTTTTATTAGTCCCCGTTTAAAGTACAGAAACATAGTATCTCCCCCCTCATCCCAAAGGGAGAAGAACACTCTGGAACGCATGTGATGGCTAGTCACGAAATCAGTCCAGGAACTTAAATTCAAGCTTTATGAAGAGCTCCTACAGTCCCTAAACCTTTACCCGTTGGGGTACATTCGTCTTAGAGGTAAACTTTTAATGGCTCACAGCAACCTAGGTACTTCTGAACATTCGCCTTAACACATACTTAGGCTTAGTCCCAACTCAAATCTAAGTGGTAACACACGAAAACTGGAGACACAACTCCTACTTCTTAGGAGTAGTCAGTCTTCAGTAATAAGGATAGGAGGTCTATTGACCTATTTTAATCCTTGCGGTTTGTTACACTGTGGAGGTCCAATGTCGTCTTGAATATATCAACAGAAGGTGCTGATATTACGTGTTTGGTAGGGAATTCCAGTAACTCTTTACTCGGTGCGAGAAACGAAACTCCAGACGAAGACGATTTTATCTCGGTTTTTGGACTTTTTTCGAATGTCCCCTCAAATGATCAGCCCTAGACGGGAGGAAAAGATAGGACATGTTAGTACCAAGGTCATCGTTCAGGATACGATATGCCAATATAAGATTACCCCGTATTCTACGGTAAGATAACGGAAATAAGTTGAGGTGTCTCAGTCTGTCTTCATAAGATAGACCAGATAGGCCTTTTACCATTTTGTCCGGCAGCGTTGGACTCGTTCCAACATATCCGCCTCATATTTGAAAAAAGGACTCGCTGCTTGAATCCCATATTCCAAATGTGGCCGTACGAAAGTTGGGTATAATAATCTAAACATTACCCCATGCAGATACCGGAAAGATCTACGAATAGACCATAATACCCTATAGCCTTTTGCAGCAGCAGCCTTACAGTGACTGGTTGTTTTGAGATCATTACTTAGTATGACTCCTAAATCTTTATAGTTCCTTATTTTGGGCAATTCTAGTCCACATATTGTGTAGAAATATGAATTATCGTAGTTATTTAATTGTATCACTACACTTTTGTTAGGGTTTACTTTTAGTGACCACCCGTTCATCCATGTCACTAATGAGCTAAGATCTTCCTGTTATACTATTCTGTCTGACATGCTATATATGGGTCTCCAAATCTTTATGTCATCGGCGAACAGTAGGACGGATGACTTAGCTATAGTTGGTATTTCATTTACATAAAGTAAAAAGAAAAGAGGACCTAAAATTGTGCCTTGGGAGAATCCACTTTTCACTGGTTCCCACGATGAGGTGGCTCCATTTACTCTTACTCTTTGTCTCCTGTCATGAAGAAAGTCACTTATCCAGTCTATGACTGCATAATGAATTCCAAAACTTCCCAGTTTTAATTTAAGACCAGAATGGGAAACCTTATCAAAGGCTTTACTTAGATCTATGAAAATAACATCTACAGGAATATTGCGATCTTTTGCCTCAGCCCAATATTCTCTTGCAATGAGAAGATTTGTCAAACATGATAGAACTTTTCGAAAACCATGTTGTTCTTTGGACAAAAGATCATGTCTTTCCACGTAGTTTATAACAGCCATCCTAATAATTTTTCCCATTAGTTTTACAACTGCAATAGTTAGGCTGACGGGTCGATCGTTACTAACTAAATCCCTACTCCCAGCCTTATACACCGGACTGATTATCGCGTCTTTCCAGTCTCTTAGCAATTTGGACTGCCGCAGGGACATATCAAACAGTACCGCTAAAGGTTCAGCAATTTTATCTGAGCTTTCACAATCCTAGGATGAATATCATCAGGAACATTGGACTTATCAGATTTGAGGTGCTGAAGTAGTCTTAAGACAGTAACTTTCTCAATAACTACAGGGTCCATCAACAAGACGCCACAATCACAATGGATAGGTAGTCGTTCCTCATTACTGATAGAAAAAACTTTACTGAAATATTCCGATAAAGCTTCGGCTTTTTTGATATCATTTCTTGCCAAAATTAACGGATTTCCTCGTATCAAAAGTGGTGGGATTCCATCACTTCTCTAAGTTCGCCTCTTTATATACGAGAATAACCGTTTCGGACTATATTTACACTCCCTAACCAATTGTTTTTCATACAACCTTCTAGTCCTACTAATTAACGCTTTACAAGTATTTCTAATCTTATGATAGCTGGATCTGTACTGTTCTAAGCCAGTAGAGATGAACATTTTCCAGTGTTTTTTCTACGCCTAAAAAGTTTCTTAACTTGCTTATTTTTCCATGGTGGAATATTATTCGGTCTACGTGGTACCAAGTATGGTATGAACGGGGACGTGACTGCACTAAACTTGCCTTTAGATATAGACCACGCCTCTTCAACTGATGATCTAGTATCTACTGACCAATCTATGTTAGCAGCACACTCCTGAATGGCTGGTATGTTAGCTATCCAGATATTTGGGCGAGGCATAATCTGATCGTATATCATGTCATCAGCTCTAAACGTGAATGATAAAACAGTGGGATCGCTAATTACTAACGGCGGAAGAATATTTAGGTATCCTCAGTCTCATAGGTGATTACTAGGTCCAACAGAGAAGAACCTTGGTTTACACCAAAACGTGTAGGTTTGGATACATGCTGTACTAACGCATGCTCCATTACTGTTTCTAAGAACCTGCTATCAAAGGAGTTTATAGAGCATTTCGTGGTTATCTCAGTCCAACTAATGTCAGGTGCATTAAAGTTTTCTAATATCAAGCATCTGTTATTTGCACTGCATATCCAAATGTGCTCCAAAATAAAGTCATCAGCTAGGCAGATTGGGCTGCGATAGATGACACCGAGTGTAAATGTACTACATCTGATAGTGATCTCACAGCTAATGACTTCACTAGTTCCACTTTCATGGGATTCGCAGACGGAGGAGCGGATATTTATACTATTGGCTATGTATAGAAGGACGCCACCTCTTTTCCTGCATCCACGTCTATCACTTCTTAAACAATGATATCCGGATAATTCTGGGGTGATATCGAAGTCATGGACTAACCAAGTTTCCATCACAGCTACAATGAGTGGCCTTAATTTGTCCACTAATGCTACTAGCTCGTACGATTTATGTCTTAGACTACGGGCGTTGGCATATAAAACTCCTAGGGAGAACGACCTATCCACACAGGCCTTGATAGCATTCGCTTCCAAGACCTGACTATTGAAAAATCCACTAGTCGGAAATTTTCCTCACCGTTTTGTCGACGGGTCACTAGTTCTGCTAGTGCCGTTTTCTTTTTTATTCTATCTTCAAGAGACATATCCTGTCTAATTCGAATGTCAGGGTCGTCGTGACTTCGAGCGCTACTTAACAGAAGATCACTTCGTTTCTCCGATCCTAGGATTACCTTAAGGAGCATACATGGTCGGGGTAGAACACTGTCATCGGTCCTTTTACCTATTCTAACCAATTTTTTGGCTTGAACATTTTCACTGTTATCTGGTAATACGCTACGGATATATTCTCAGAGCCTCTCTAAGACATAAGCGCGTCTAACCTTGGGATCTGGATCGTTAGACTCTGGCAATTTACTCACA